TAATAATAATAATAATAATAATAATAATAATAATAATAATAATAATATTACAAAGAAACTGGAAGGTCTGTGAAAGCAGAGGGAACACGGTTGCATTTTAAAAAAATTACATTAAAGAAACAAACAAAAAATTTGGGAAACAGATCTTTGGTAACTTAACCTAGTTGATCTGAGCTAAATACAGGTGTTATTTTTTTTAAATTAGCTTTAAGAAGAAAAGAAAAAGGGAGATTCAGGTTTGGGGCAATGATGATAAAGCTTTTGAGTTTGGCTTGTCAAAAAAAAAAAAAAATTAGGAAAATGCCTAACTTGATTCTGTTGGGGTGTCACCAACACACAAACCAAAGAGGAACAATTCTTTATATTTTCATTTATTTTGCAAGAACACAATCTAATCATGAGCGATGCTTTGTATTATATAATACAAAGTCCAGTGAATCACAAGTAAAACAAACTCATGTTCAAAGTGAAGGCACACCCCATTCTCACGCAGCCTTTGAAAATCCTGCAAATACAGGTGTCTTTGAAGAATACAGGTAGACCTCGACTTACAACAGTTCATTTAGTGACTGTTTGAAGTTAGAACAGCGCTGAAAAAGTGACATGACTGTTTTTCACACCACGGTCACGTGATCAAAATTCAAGTGCTTGGGAACTGACTCAAATTTATGATCCTTACTTGTGACCTTCTGACAAGCAAAGCCAATGGGGAAGCCAGGTCCCACTTAACAACCGTGTTACCAACTTAATGCAGTTATTCACTTAACGACGGTAGCAAGAAAGGTCGTAAAATGGGGCAAAACTCACTTAGCAACTGTCTTGCTCGGAAATTTGGGGCTCGGTGATGGTCGCAAGTCCAAGGACAACCTGCACGTGTTGTGGCGTGTTGGTGAATGCTGGTATGTTAACCCAAACGCCATGTGTGTCACCTTTGACATGCGTGTTCGCTGTCACTGTCTTAAGAGTCAATGGGATGAGCAGCCATCCCATTGCACTGAATTGTCCGTGCGTCCCTAGACATGTCTGGATGATGCACGCACTTACACATGCACACATGATGCGTGTGACTAAGTCTCAGGTTCTTTTGGTCAGAAAGAGAGGAATTTTAAAACAGCAGGCAAGAAAGTCACAAAAAGAGGACTATCCCTGGCTTCAAGTTATGAAGGCTGTTCGCTCCCTCCTGAATCATATAAAGCAAGCCTTAAGTTTCAGATATTGGGGGTGGCACCAAAGAATCACCTCAACATCTGGAACTCACCCCTAAAGCCTTAGGGCTAGAAGGGGGCCTTGGAGGTCTTCTAGACCAACCCCCTGCCCATGCACTATACTGGACAAATGAATGTCCAAACTTTTCTTGGAATTTTTCCAGTGATGGGGCACCTGAAGATGGCCTTCTGGCCAACTGCTCACCTGCAACAGGTTGGTCGCCCCGAATTGCTAAAAGGTGCTGCTAGTCGTAGATCAAAAACTGAACCCATTGAATATCAAGTGTTGGGCAGTGAAGAATAGAAATAGAATAATAGAAATAAGGTATAAGGAGTGGAATAGAATAGAATAGAATAGAATAGAATAGAATAGAATAGAATAGAATAGAATAGAATACCCCAGTGATGGAACACCCACAACTTCTGAAGACAACTTCTGTTTCATTGATTAATTGTTCTCACTGTTAGTAAATTTCTCCTTAATTCCTTGATTAGTTTCCATCTGTTGTTTTTTTATCTTGCCTGTTTTGTAAAATAATTTGACCCCCTCTTCTTTGTGGCAACCCCTCAAATACTGGAAGACTGCTATCCACTGTCCTTTTCTCTAGACTAGCCAACCCAAATCCTGCAACCATTCTTCATTTGTTTTAGTTGCCAGGTCTTTAATCAGATTACAGATAATCAGAGTTGGAAGGGACCTTTTGGGTCATCTAGTCCAACCCCCCACCCCCACCCAAGCAGGAGACCCTACACCATTTCTGACAAATCTTAGCATCTTAGCTGCTCTTCTCTGCACTTTTTTCCCCTCAAAGTCTGAACATCTTTTTTTTTTAATAGATTTTATTGAATTTACAATTTCTGAACATCTTTTTTGTAACCTGGTGACCAAAAATTGAAGATGACACAAACAAATAAATAAATGCTAAAGAGGATTATTATTAAAATATATCTTCAAAACATGTAAAGAGCAGCCCAGGTTGGATGCTGAAATGGTAAAACGGGGAAAATGAGATCCATTTTTTCATTAGTTTACTTTTAAAGTTGGGTGTTTTATAGAAGTGTTTTAAAGCACCATCAGAAAAAATATGTATTTATTTGTATCAGTCCTTCAGTATTTTTACAAATAATCAAGCTGCAAACATATCCAACATAAACCTTCCTTAACCACTAAACTGTCTCTTGTTTTCTTATTAAACCTTAAGATGTTTGCTGAATTAAGCGTGAGTATGTTGTATTGACACAAGCCAGGGTGTTTTGTTTACCTGGGTGTGGTAGGCTTAAGTATCTGATGTGAACTCAGTCAGGTTATTGGCCAAAAGTTACCTAGGTGGTTTTCATGAAGAACTCACAATCAGCCAGGGATTGGCTCAGAAACCCAATTTCATGGTTAAAATGGGGCTAGACTTCATAGTCCCCCACTTTCTAGCCTGGTGCCTTAAATCTATAGATATATAAGCAAAATGCCCCTCACGCATCATCACAAAATCTCCAGAACTCTAAAGCCTACATACTTGAAATTTGGCACGTCTGTTCCTCTTGGCTTCTACCCTGTTTCTCCAACAATACGGCCTCCCCCAATAGGAAGTCCCAATGAAATGAAATTAAGCCCCCCCCAAATTAAGGCCTATATTAAAACATGCGAAATGGGGGGGAAATGGCAGGGGGGCTTGCTGTTAGGAAGTACTTTTGTTGCACACCCGGATATGGTGCTGCCTGTGTTGACCCTGATACAAAGTGCCCCACCAACGCCAAGATCAACATCCAAGCCGTCGCCGCCTGCCTGCCCAAAGATGCAAGTGGGGGGGGGGAATTAAGTCACCCTCGAAAAGACAACCTAGCCATTTTTTCGGGGCTCAAAAAAAAAAAAGACCCGGCCTTATTATATGAGAAACACGGTAGGTGCTCACTAAGACAGGATTTTTCGAAATGACCATCAGAACATTAGTATTTCGTATAGTATTATTATTAACACGCTCTGATGCTAAGGAGTTCTACTCCCACTCCCCACAGCAAATACTGTTTCATTTTCCAAACAGCCCTCAACTCTCTCACACACTGACAGGATGCTAGCCAGATGAATTCCGATGGAT